GACGACCCACTCGGCACTCGCTGCCCGGCTGTCAACTTGATCGCCTCCGCACGGACTGACTAACTCGAGACTAACTATCTCGCACTCTAGATGAGGCACTCGACTCGCACTCTCGACGAGGCACACTCACCCTGACTGTGGACCAGCAGGGTAGTTTATATAGCTTTCGGCTTGTGTTCGAGAACATTCTGGGCTAAACCGGTAAGAATTCGCTCCAGAAGGTTCTCCATCTGTCCATGGTATATCGCCAATTTTGTCGCCAAATATCGCCAAATGGGCTATTTTTCGCCAAATGTGGCAACCCTGCCTTCCTTGGAACCGCAAAACTGCTTTGCGGGAAAGCCATCTTACCGCGCCTGTATATTTCGTAACACTGCCTCCTCCCAAGGACTGCACGTCCCGGGCAGTACAACCCTTGGTCAGAAGCCTAATTCGATACAAACGAAACGTAATGAAATAAACATAAGGTATATATAAATAATATAACTAAAGAAACAGATATTTACACTATGTACAAGTTACATACACAAAACAACCCTAAAACTGCTTTGCGGGAAAGCCATCTTACCGGGCCTATACATTTCGTAACAATATGTATTATTATTATTATTATTTTATACATATGTTAATACATATATAGAGTCCCTGGTCATTCTTGATTATTTGTAATCCTTTCAGTATATATTTACCGAAACGAATAGAAGAAATTATCTAAAAAGAATCAATAAAATAAAAAAAAAACGCTCTAAAAGCAAAAGTTAATCCAGGAGGAATAATGCAAAATGGGAAAAAAAATTTGCAACATTTCGAATGAGCCAGAACTCGGTACCTTAAATTATTACACTGAAGGGAAATCAAAAAACATGAACTCGATACATCAAAGAGTAAGAAAAATGAACACATTTTAAAGTTTGTAAACAAACAGAGAATAATAAGAGTTTTGGTTATTTTTGCTCTTAATTTGTGTTGTACATTGATGCATGGAGCTCTTGTCTTTTGATTTCCTTTTATTATGCTTTTCTTTATAGACCTTAATGCATGGAATTCTAGCTGATACAGGAAGAGTATAATAAAAGGTTTTCTGTTTTCTATTACACACGCACCCATACACACACGCACATGTATATATATTCTACAGATACAAAATTGTAGAATTAATTATTAATTTTTAAAGTCGCGCAGTATGTAGCGAAATTAATTAAATAATCAAGTGATAATTAATATGAATAAATCTCTCCAAAGTGACAAACTTGCTAAGAGGAAAAATAATATTTAATATAAAAAACTACACTGAGGCAAAAAACAAAACAGCATAACAAAATAAGTCCGAAATTAAATAAATAATAGTTGAAAGTTCTTCGGTCTTTTTCAAACAGGAACTAAAATGATTTTTCAACAGAGCCACATTTCTGAATTATATCTGGATGTTTATCTAAACAAATTCATAACATTAAAACTGAAATTAAAATTAAAAGTAAATAATTTAAATAAATTACTGCAAAATAAATTAAAACAATATTTAAATGCTAATAAGAAATTTAAATAACAAAACTGGAAATTAATCATCAATATATAATCTGCTCCGACGTAACTCGAAATCAGTTTACTGAGAATTAATTTAAAATGTTGCTGTTATATTTTAGTTTCTTATTGACAATTTAGTATTGTTTTGATTTACTTTAAATTATTACCTTTTAAGTTTAATTTTAATTTTTTGAATTTGTCGTTGATAATCATCCAAATATATTTAGGAATGTGGCTGTGTTGAAACTTTTTCGGCAACTGCCTGAGAAAGACCAAAACGTTTTCAACTATTCTTTATTAAAATTTGTATTAATTTTGTATTTTTTAATTTTTACTTCAATTTTTCATTTCGAGCCCGCCAGAGGCCGAGCGGTAAAGACGCTGAACACTGGTAGTTCGGTCCGAGGTTCGAATTTCGCGAACGGGCTGGCTGCATGGGCGTTTTCGCCAGTTCACGAGCCAGTTTCCCTTAGAAAGTCCTCCACGAAGGCATCCCTCCCTTTAGACAGATAGCCCTCGTGTGCTTTGCCATAATTGAATAATTCAATCAAATCCAATTTTCATTTCTATTTTAAATATTATTTTTCATTTTAGTAAATTTGCCACTTTGGCGTGATTTAATCATTACGCATTTTTATAAATTGTCAGCTACCTCTGAGCGAGGGAAATTTACTTTATTAAATGCTTTCTTTTAACTTTCCTTTTATGAACGAACATCGACATTTGCTTAAATTCTTCCGCACTTAAGCCCACCAGCGGCCGAGCGGTAAAGTCGCTGAACACTGGTAGTTCGACTCGAGGTTCAAATCCCGCGAACGGGCTGGCTGCATGGGCGTTTTTGTGGTTTTCCCCACGTGTAACGTGTATACGAGCCAGTTTTCCTTAAAATGTGCTCCACGAAGGCATCCCTCCCCTTAGGCAGATAGCCCTAGTATGCTTTGCCGTATTCTCAATACACCAACACCAACACCCTTAGGCAGATAGCCCTAGTGGGCTTTACCGTAATTAAATAAACCAAACAAATCTTCCGCACTTAAAAGGCGACTGAAATCTGGCATGAAGGTAATCGGAAAACCCTATACCGACAATGTTTTAAATTGGACATTTTCGATGTACCTTTTCTCAAAATCTGCTGTAGATACACGCTTGAAATTTTTTGTGTAATTAAAGTATATGATTATACGACGGATATGAGCTTTTGAAACATTTTGAATTTTAGAGTAATTTATTGAATATTTTGTTAGGTATAGTAAAAGTTTAAAAAACTTTTCTAAAAAAAAAAAAAAAAAAAAAATCTTAATTTATCTCAAAAAGTTTATTTCAGTAAATATTAATAAACATAATATTAAGGATTTTGTATTTAATTTTCCATTTTCAGTAGAATTATAATTATAATTAAATTGTTTTACTTCCCCGTGCAATACAGCGCGTGACGAATTTTAAGAGAATGCTTCGCTGGAAAAGTAAAAATACAAGAGCACGTGCATTTAACATTTAATAAATAGATATCTCGTAATTACACCATTTTTCTTTTCAGAAACCTCGAGAAAATACCAGAATGTTCTCGTGCATGATTAAAAAGCTTAGAAAAGCCGGAGCAAAACATCTCAGTTCAGTTGTTTATTACTTGTTCACTAAGTTTTTGTTGCTGATTGTAGCGAATTCGCAGTGAGATCGGATTAGCATTTTCTGTTCTTTGAATTGAGTTCTATTTAACGTTTTAGTACTTTAAAATATAACTACTGTGTGGTATTGTGTTATTGTACGAATAACTGTGAAGAAAGATTTCAGCACTTTTTAATTCTGGTAATAAGAATAAATTTTATTGACATTTTATCGGACTTGTACACTCAGTTTATTACGAATCTCTACGCGCACAACAATAATAAATAAGCAATAACGATTTTAGATACCTGTGAGCAGTAGTTCTTGAGAAAAGGTACATCGAGTAAAAACAAAAAAATCACGTATGGAGAAAAACGCGTTTTCATGTAAAAATCCTCATTTATCAAAGCAGTCGAACACCTCTGAAGTACAGCTGACGAAATCCAAGCAGAGACGAGTTATCGTTTGGTTTGGTTTATTTAATTATGGCAAAGCACACTAGGGCTATCTGCCTAAGGGAAGGGATGCCTTCGTGGAGGGCTTTCTAAGGGAAACTGGCTCGTATACACGTTACACACGGGGAAAACCACGAAAACGCCCTTGCAGCGTTCGCGGGATTCGAACCTCAGACCGAACTACCAGTGTTAACTATTAATTTTCGAACTACCTACTAATTTTCTAGCAGGCATTCTGAGTCCTTTATTTGAATTTTTAAAAATCAATACTCAGGGATACTTTAAAGTAAAATAATTTTTTTTTCCTCAAAAAACCACAATTACTGTATCAAATGAAAGGAGTAAAAATTGTGTAGTACTGAAAGGAAAGGGTATTTGCTAACCTAAATTGTTAATGAAATAAAACCTAAATTGTTAATGAAATAAAACCTAAATTGTTAATGAAATAAAATGAAGCATGTTACAACTTCGACTGACGTAGCCTCACGAAAAAGTTCAAAGAAACGTCACTGGTTGTTGAATTTAGGATAATTTATAATTTGAGTTCTCTAGTATACTTAAAAGTTAAAAAAAATAAATGCATAAATAAATAAAAAATAAACAGGAAACTATCATTCCATTTGTTCACTTAATGTGTTAAAATATGTGTGAACTTCGAAATATGCGTAAATTTTAATACGTAAGCAGCAGAGATATAATACAAGCATTCATACGCGATGTGTAAGCAAGTAAAATAAATATACATGGGATAACGCTGATGAAGGTATTTAAAGCCCAGACAGAATAAGAAATAAATAAAGAAAAGTGCGATATCTATGAAAGGTTATCTGACTAAACAAGGGCAAATTTTTGGGTATTTCTTGAAATAAAATCATTATTTAGCCTCGGCATTTATTTAAACTTTTAACCCAACAGATATGCGATTGGAAGAATTTTAATATTTAAAAAGAATGCAAACTATGCCAATGCAAGCAGGCACTCATAGGTTAAATAGCTCAAAACTGACAGAAAGGGGGATAATTTTAGACTTTTCTAAGACAATGAACTCCGTAATTCAGCCTCAAGTTCATTTTTACAGCGAATTCCTTTCTAAGTGCATTCAAATGAAAAAAAAAAAAAAAAAACGGGAAATCGTAATGAATAATGAAATATATATATATCAATCGAGAGACCACACGAGTACAGAAAAATCAATCATGCCTAAATGCAAAGAAGGATTTCGAGAAAACAGATCTGTTTAAGAATAAGCGCGGGAGAAAGTGGCCAGTCACCTGTTTCATGATCCCTGCCCGATTCCAGTTCGGACGGCTTTTTTTTCCCCTATCCAGCCTATGAACATGATGGGTCTTCTCACCCACCAATCATAGCACTACCCCGTCGATGGCTCCTTGCAGGTATTTAAACGCGACGATTCTCATCGACTTTACATTGGTCGCCTCTATGGCTCCTAGATTGAGCAGTTAGTTCATTTGGGTCTTCTGAACCGGATTTATTCCATCACATCATCCCTTTATAAAAAACAGGTATGTACATTAGGAAGCACTTCGTGTTCTAAATTTTTAGATATAAAAATCGTTTAATAATTAAAAATTTTCATATTAGTTCTGGAAATTTATTTCTTAATTTTTAAATTTTGGGCATTCCGTAATTCTTCGTCTTGTAAAAATTCAAAACTTTTGCTGTACATTCAGCATATGATACAACCGGACTACATAGAAGTCAAAATAATTCCCTTTTAGACTAATTCAAAATAATTAGAAATAATTCCCACTCCTTTTTAGAATTAATTAATAATTTTTTAATTACAAAATAAGGAACTGTCATTTCTTCGGCGGTTCAAGTCAGATGGGATGAGTTATCCGACCTTGAAGAGATTTGAAATTCGCTCTCGCTTTTTATCTGAAAGACTTCCGCAAACCGCGTCTTCCCTTCTGCATAAAGGGAAAAAAGTAGACGAGAAAAGATGAAAGAGAGAGAGTGAGGAGAAGATCGCCGACCTTAACATCTTTACTACGTCCTAGATCTTCAAACTAGTGTGTATTTGATTGTTTAACAGACTGCATATCCTTTCCGAGACCTATTTTCCTCACTGACCGATCTTCAGTTTTTCTCTTTACGGAAACTGCTTGTCGAGGCGGAATGAATAGCTCTTGCTTTTATTTAACCATTGTAGAATAGCAGGTGTTTTCTTCCACATTATTTCATTTTGGGTTTTGCCTTGAATTTCGCTGTCACTAGAAATTTGTAAACGATTCTTAAACGCTGCAAACCCCATCTTGAACTGCTAACCATATTAAATAAATTTACAATTCTGTGTTAAATAATATTTAATATCGTTCGGCTTGAAAATCAGTGCAAATTAATGTCAAACCTCCGAACATCGAGAGCTGTTTCTTACGAGACCGAAGAAGCATTATCATTTTACATTCTCTCGCATTATTATTCATTGCACTTTTGGTTGATATGATTGTAGATATTCATTTTAATGCAAGCTTTAAATATCCCTTGCTGTTTGAAACGGTTTATGGCATTCCGCTTTTTAGAGTTACATTTAACATTAGGAAAGATTAGATTTGTAACACTACGGAATAGGAGAAATGTAACTGCTTTTAATTAAATGTGCTTCTAAAAACGGATCCGGGAAAAATTTGAAGAATTTGCCATAAAGAAAAAGAATCAAACTTTGCTTTTGATTTAGAAAACGCACACAGATTGAAAAACATATATGTAAAATGTAATTAGTATGACTAAAGATTATAAGTAATACCGTAAATTTCTACTTAGGAAGCTACGTATGTTTGTTGCTAAATTGTTGCAAAAAATTGGTGATGTAACTGGAAATAATAAGTTAGCCTTATTTCTGCACAAATGCGATTAATGTATTTTTATGTGCGAAATAGTTTCCTGACACTGAATTGTAATTCCAATTATGTAGAAGTAAAAAACAAATTGTCTAAATTATGATATTTAACACAGAGCGATAAGTTTTGACGATGGTAATATTTTTAAACAAAAATCATCTCTTATAATTTTGCTAATTTAAAATTATTATTTGAAATTAAAGAAAATCTAGGATGAAAGATACGAAAAGGTCTGTTTTAGTTGAGCGAATTTAATAATTTAAAATTATTTGAATACCGAAGAACCTCTTTACAATTGTGTTAAATTTATGGTCATTTGAATTTATTTGGTTGTGATTTTCGTTTGGAAATTTACATTTCATAATTCTATCATTATTTTTAGCATTGTTTGGTATTTTATATTAATTATTTATTTGTTATATAAACTACAGAAAATAAAATGTGGCTTTTAGTAATTGTCCGAAAATTTAGACTAAATTAAAGGCAATTTCCCTTTTAAAAAAGGCAAAGATAAAGTTTTTATACAAATTCTCGTAAATATGTAAGTGAATGTGAAATAATTAAAATTGTAAATCATTTCACTAATTTGCTCGAAAGCTAGGAAGAAATTGAGGAATACTATTCTAATATTTAGCAAGAAAAATGGATAAATTTCATGTTATTAATAAATTTAATACCTTAGTATAATATAAACTAAATCAATCACATTTTCTGGCAGAAAATTTGAGATCTTTAAATCAAGTTGCAGAGAATAGATGACGAATACAAAAAGAGTGTTTTAACTTCTGTTTGATAATTTTAGTGCATGTTGTAAAAAACGCAGCAGAAATCGTTCCAGTAAAATCTCTTAAAAATAAAGAATTAGAAGTAATTGGCTCTTGTCACAAAGTAAAGATCTTCGCTCAAGACAGAAGCTGCTGTAAATGTTCTTTCTGATATTCGAATTTATATTGTTGGTTGAACACAGGTTAAGAAAATCGCATTTTAATTACTGGTCCGCCATACTCAGTCTGCTATAAGCAAAATTTGTCATGTATTTAATTAACACAAACCTTTTATCGGGAAACCTCTAGTACCAGACTAAATTTAAAAATAATGTATTTAGTTTCCTTTATTTAAAAAACGGCTTGCCTTCTGGACTTCTCCAGTTATTTAGAATTCGAAGAAGTTTCAAAGCAGAGTACCGTTCTTAGAAAATTCTTTAGTTTCCCAGCTACTTTAAAAACTTTAGCCTCTACGGTTATCTGAAAACTGTTGTTCACGAAAGAATTTTGTTTTTCACAAGAAATGTGGTATTTTGCAATTTCGCAATGAGATGCAAAGTTTCAGATTTTAATATTTTAAATTACGAAGTTCTAAAGTAAGACATTATCCGTTTGCCTTTCGCATCCCCTCTCCTTTTAGCAGTGAAAATAATTACGTCTTCTTTTGTTTTCCAGTTTAATCCTAGCATGTAACATTCCATGAATTTTCTTAAACTGCGTTTCTGATTCAAATAAATGTACTCTGTCGCTCCATGAACAAGCATTATACTGAAGAGTCAAGAAATCATGGAAACACTACTTAAATAATTAGTTAATTTATTTAGCCAGCTCACCTTGTCTACCTTACAAGTCAGAATACCATAAATATTGATTGACTACTTATTAGTAGTGATAACAGTAATGTACATAAAGGACAACAAAAAACTGTTTTTAAGTTTTGAGATAGGTAAGTATAGAGCATAGGTAACAGGGAACATGTTTTCGATATAAAATTCAGTATTATTGTTGATTTTTGGTTTTCAAGTGAAAACGGGAAGATAAATTTATATAATTTATCTTTATACGGGGTTCTGAGTGGCAAAAGAAATTATCATGAAACCTTTAGCTTTAATTTCAATAATAACCTAAGTTTTATCCTAGCCAGAACTATGCATTACCTAAATATTACGCATTGAATCCAATAAGAAACTGCTTAATGACCTCTCTTAATAATTAAAACATAATTATAGAATGCATATTTATCGACTACTACAAAACTGCAAGGGTAAGTAATTAACTAATCGTTAGTCTAGATATTCACATGAAATGCCTATCGGAGACTTAACAGGTAAGTACTCAAATATTATTTTGCTTTATATTATCGATTCATATGCGCCAATTTGGAACTATTGATAACCAAAATTTGCATCAAAACGAAACGGTAAGCCAAGTAAGCAATGTGAAAAATATTTATTTTGTATGAAATACATAATTATTTTTCTAATAATTAAAAATTTATTTGTTATTTTCTATGACAGCTATTTTAAATTTTGTTACATACAGTAATGTTCAATTAAATGTATCGTTGTTTATAAATGGAACTTGTAGCTTTTATAAGGTGTTGATATGGATGATGGCGAAAGAGAGAGAGAAATTAATTGTCACATTCCGAAAAGGGAAACTTCTAATTTTCATTAATATACAGAACATTTGAGGAATGTAATAGAGCATAGGTAACAGGGAACATGTTTTCGATATAAAATTCAGTATTATTGTTGATGTTTGGTTGTTAAGTGAAACAGGAAGAAGAGATTTATATAATATGACAAAACTGTTATGCAAAAATATAAATTTGATATTACTGCTTTTCTTTCCTTTACACTCATTGTCTCAATTCCCTTTATGAAATAACAATAAGAAACTACACGAGAAACGAGAAAATAGGCAAGGGAATTAAGAGAAGAACTTGACACATTTGAAGAAAAAGAGAAGGAAGAGGAAGTTGGGAATGATGCATCGGTTTAACTTGAAGAATCACTTTGAGGGGTGATCCTTTATCACAGTAGCGAAATGACCATTGAGAGTAGGGCAAAAAGAATAAATTCTTCCACATTTAATTGAAAGGTGTGATCCGAGAAGTATTATATAATAGATAGATAAGTAACTACGTTAACAGGAATGCTGATATTCAGTATACATAGTATACAGTTAAGATTTAATTTTTATATTCTTTGAATTAGTTATATTTTTCTGTTATTTTATTGATGCATTGCGTTCAGAGAAAAGTGCTCTGTGATTAGAAATTTAAATACTATCTTTTAAAACCCTTAATACTAGATTTAAGATAATTACAATATCTCTACATATAATTAAAGAAAGAATCTGTCTGTGTGTGCCTTTCGTTTGCGCTGCACGTAAGCTAATAGACCCAAGGCTACGAAATTTGGTACATAAGTGCATCTAGACAAAAACCAGTGCACCTTGAAGCGAATTTTTCGAAATTCGAATTAGAATTTTTTAAATTTTATGTTTTCTGTTTTATGAATTTTTTAAATTTTATGTTTTTTTCATTTTGAGACATAATGGGCTATAGGAAAGCGAGATTTTACTCTACACACTCCATTTTCACATCGTCATGAAATGTAGGCACTTAGCTATTTTACGAACTTAAAATAAATTTCGTGTTTCAATAAATCGATTAAATACGAATTTATTTAACAAAGGGAGCTTAACACCTTTTCAACGGGATTTTTTTCTAAAAAAGTTTATTTTTAAAAATGTAGAGTTTATTTTTCTTTGATTTTTGGACACGTTGAACTTTCATCCTTGCGACTGCTTTTACAAAAAGAATTTTGGAAAAATGATAATATTTAGTATTTTTAAAAAATGTTTTAAATGAAACTTCCGAGTACACTTCTC